GAAAAATGCTTTGTAAAAATACAAAATCAAACATTTTCAAAAGCCAGCGAGCACTTCAATTTTGAACTGAAGATTCCAATAATAGACATCTCTGAACTTCCAGAGAACCAAAAAAGCATTGAAACTTCAAGAAATCAACCAAGAAGCTCTCAAGACGAGGAGTCAAAAGAATTGTCCTTCCAAAAACCCTTATTTGAATACATTTAAGCATAGGTTTAAGTCTTGTTATTTTAATAAGTTAAGATGGAGCTAGTCCTTTGCATCAACTAATCAAATCTACAGTATTTCTTCCATCAGCATTCAAATCAATGGTGTACTCTATGCCATGGAAAAGGAGGTAGGTACTTTATTTTTCATTCCAGGTTCCAACATCCTTGATTAACAAGACATAATTTTGGGGATTAGGTAGGTATAGAGTCCGTCCATAAACTACAGTAGCGCCCTCTTTCGACAGCAACGTAAGTTTTTGTATTATGACAAGTGCTTGATTCCATTTACAAAAATGTAATTTTTCATATTGTAAACGATTTCAGACTTCAATATATTGTTAAGTTAGAAACAAAACAGCAACAAAAGGGGGGAGATCCAGAATTGGTGGCTCAGTACTTCAACTACGAGAAAGGAAGCTCTGTTTTTAGGACTGCCGACTAACTCTTATAGGGGAGAGTGGTGTGGGTTATCAAATAAAGCGCCACCTGTTTTAAGGCCCTTTAGTTAAACAGAATTCCCGATAAAATAGAAACAGGAAATCTCAAACAAAAGATAGGTACTGTACTGCCAAACTAAAATCCCTAATTACTGAAATCTGAAATTGGCTAAAGAGAAATAAAAGAAACACTGTAACTCAAATTAATGAATTTAATTACTAAGTATCTACTCTCAAATTTCAAATTTTCCATGCATCCGCAAATGCCAAATAAGAAAATGTAAATATGGGTGTTTCAAATCAGTCAGTGTAAACAAATTATACCCAAAAAAACACTACTGATAAACTACACACTGAAAAATTATACCTAAAATTGCCGAACCAGTAGTATAGTGATTCCGCCTTTTGTAGTTGGTAATGTCCAAAATTATTGCTAATTCCTAAATTAAATATCGCAATTTTAATCAAATTGGGGCGGCAGTTCGGTTGTTGATGCGTCCCTTAACTAATTAAACCAATGGACTCTAAAATACCTTCGCAAATGGATCCATTTATACCCGGTGTACAAGTGAGAATAATAAAAGTGTACAAATTTGTGTGTTATTTGTGTCCAAGGGATTAATAGATACTTAAAGGTAAGAAGGGTTAACTTAAACTGTAAACCTGAAGGGTTAATAATTTAATTTCAGTATAATATAAGACAGAAATAACGTTCAGCTGGCGGTGTTCGCAGGCTAAGTTGTAGGTTTGATGGTCCCAAAGACAACACAACAATACTCAAACCTTATTTATTTAAGCTGGGAGGATTAGTGGCTCTCCACTAGATCCAGGTCTGCCTATCCGGACTCCGGAGCTAACCAACTTCCAAACGTATTTAAGGGTCTGCGAACGTCAAGGTCGCCAAGATATAGGGTTGGATTCCACACACTCGATAGGGCGGCAATACGGCGACAATCAGGAACGATACAGGACGTAACGATATAAAGAAAAAAAAAAAGGCCTAGAACAACGAACATTGCATCAGGCTCGTGAAAACTAAGGTATGTACGTATTTACTTTAATATTTTTCTCCAATAAAGGCTCGAATAATATTCAGAAGTAAGAAAGATGAAAATAGTGTCAAAAAAAAAGAACTTACCAATGGGATATTGGCCTTTTCTTGCACAAAGTCAAAAACGAGAAACGTGACACCAAAGTGTAGGTCTTTTTTTCAATTAATTTAACTTTAATTCAGCAAACTACTGCTATGGTGCTATAATAAGAACTAATAGCCACCTTTAGTTAAATTTTTGGACCTAAATCTCTCAAAAATCGGCCAAAAAGCCACTAGAAAAGCAAAAGGTGTTGCTTCTTCTAAATGAGATCTGGTTCTGACGCGTCACGAATTGGCTACCTTTTTTTTCTATTCTATAAAATCCGGTACCTTTAAAATTTTACAAGTCATTCAGGTTCTAGGGGATTTTCAGTTTTTAGTTACTAGATTTAAATTTTCGAGCCAAAAATCAAGCCCATCATTATTTAAGCAAAACCTTAACCTCAATAGTTTGTTGTTATTATTGTTACTCATTAAGAAATTGAAATAATAATTTAAATTCCTTATTTTTGTTCAAATGACTATTTTTGAAACTATATAACTGTTTTATTTAACTAGTAAGTTATATTTAGAAATTTTATCAAGATACTTTACAGTGAATTTTATTCCAGGGAAGTTCGAGAGCGACCCTTGAAGATGTTTGAAGATTCCTTATTTACTTAAGTACCCTGCAAAGGACTATAAATAAATGATTTTGGAGCGAATTATTTACTGTTTATTTAGCAAACCCATAAAATAGCCAATTTGGAGATAAGGTAACGTTTTGTTTATATTTTATTTATTGATAAATTCTGAAGCAATTCAAGCTTGTGAATTCTGACCCGTAACAATATTTCATTATAAAGGTATGGTTGTTTACACGAAACAATTATATTTAATTACACTTTTTTCTTCTAATTATTATTTGCTAAACACTTTTTATTATCATTAATTCAGGCTATTGTGCATCCCACTATTTGTCATGCCTTTACCCAGGAACAGTTTCACAAATTGTTGTGTTGTTAACTATGGCAGTAATTAAACCAATACAAGTTAGTCTGGGAGACGACCGTGCCGGAAATATCTTTGAACAAATTAACAAATTGAAAAAAACGTAACACTACCTTCATCGAGTTATGCCCTAAGTAGGGTATCAGATTAAAGGTCTCGATGTCCTCTATCTAAAAAATCGGTCCCGCCTCGTGAGAACTTGCCGGAAAAAGGTGGCCAGCCGCTTATTGGGGCAAGGGCCTGCGGTCTCAGCTTTGACACCTATCAAGTTTTGCATTGAATGATGTGTCAAATTAAAGGTGTCAATAAGTTGATTTAAGGTCTGTTCGCACAGAAATCACAAACCAGTCAAAGCGAATTTCATTGGTTGGAAACAGTCAGGAAACTAGTTTCTACCAATGAAATTCACTCCTTCTGGGTTGGGATTTCTGTGCGAAGAGACCTTAAATCAACTTCGACACCTTTAATTTGACACATCATTTAGGGCAAAACTTGATAGGTGTCAAAGCTGAGACCGCGGGCCCTTGCCCCAATAAGCTGCCTTGCCACCTTTTTCCGGCAAGTTCTTACGAGGCGGGATCGACTTTTAAGATAGAGGACATCGAGACCTTTAATCTGATACCCTACTTAGGGCATAACTCGATAGGGGCAGTGTTACGTTTTTTTCAATTTGTTATTAATTTGTTAAAAGATATTTCCGGCAGCATTTGCTCTCAGGCAGGAATACCGGTTAATAGATGCACATAATACTATATATTGATAATAGTGTCGACACATAACTCGATCGGGGTAGGAAAAATGCGGACTTCTCCCTAACTAAGTGGAAATGTTCACTTCTACAGTTTTCCTAGTCGGCCTCATGATCAGGAAAGACGTAAAAAATGGATTAAAGCTGTCGGAAGAAAAATGTAAGTTCCTACTTACTTCTATCAATATTAACCTTCACACCTATTCATAGGAACTACACACTGATTTTTCATATTGATTTGGTTACTCTACCCTTTATCGTTTTAAGATCCAATTCAAAAAGTAGTAAAATGTGGGAGGCAGAAAGACACTCGGGGATTTGTAGCGTCCATTTTATTGTTATACCTACCTGTAGGTCAACAGCATAAGGAGAGCTGTTTATGGAGGTTTGGCTCATAACATGCCCTTTCAAAATGGATAAGTCCCCTCCAACTTTTCGTTCAACTACTTGCAATACATGTTAGCTTTCACTAGAGCTATACCTTTTTTGTATGCTCCATTTTTCGAAAGTCTAGTGAAAATTAGACAAACTATTAATACAAAAACTTTTGACATCTCTCACTAGGGGTCGCGGATTTAAATTTGTGACCGGTCCCTGGATAGTTGTTCGCTTGTCAGAAAAAAGTTCAAAGTAAACTGGTGAATCTTGACAGTTTTAAATAAAATGTATGAGACTTAATTAGGTTTGCCTTCCATACAACTCTAACATATGGACTTGTTTTTCTATAGTCTATTGACAAAAGATGAATACCTATTATTATTTAAAATCCAAACTCAAGCAAAGTTGGAAATATTTTAACACTCACCTTGAACTATAGCATTATTTTGGAAAATACACACATCAAAATAGTCTAGGGAACAAGATGCAACTGAATACATTTATAAATTGAACAAAATATACTTTTAAAAGATTTTTAAATTTTGTTAAAGCCTGTTGGAAAAGCTGATATGATAAATTTTACAAGATTTGTTCAACAAATACCCATATGGTATCTTTTTAAAAAAAGTTATTCTGTCTAAAAATTAAAAGACGAATATTTCTTGTTCCCTAGACTTTTTTGATGAGTGTAAGTACCTAATTCACAAAATAAACAAAGTAAAAAATGGTTTTCAGAATAGAAGTCCTCTTGCAGTTCTACGTAGTTATTCACCCAAAAATTAGCCCTGAAACATGGGTTATCTCGATCACGAAAGTTTCCCTAAAAATAACTATAGCCATAATTTAATGTATAAAAAATCAATTTTTTCCCTTGACGCTTGAAGGTCAAGATTATCCAGACGTGTTTATCCTGGTACGAAGCTTGCGTGTATATAAATTTATACAATAAACCAAAAACTATTTGGCTCATCCAACTATCCTATATTATAGCTGTCTGCATTGCAAGACAAGCAGTTGCTATGCAAAAATTATTGCAATTATTATTCTTTTCAGTATTAATTAGTGGTGAGTTCCAATCATTAATCGATTCAATTTTCAATTAGTACAAAGTGCAATTAAAACTTACACGCAATATTGCGGCCGAAGGATTGGAGATTAGCCATGACAGCGATTAACTGAATAACGTAAGTTTCAATTTTAAACCAAAATCACATAAAACTCATGCATCGTTAAACACACCCCCTAATTATAAATGAACCCCTTTATATGTTGGAAATTTCCACATCAGTGCGCATGTTGCAGGTGTTGCGTTATTCTCATCAGGCACTCTGTTTTTATTACTCTACCAACAACACATTATGATTGATGCTATAGTAACCTTATTGCAATAACGTCAATTTTTAAACTGCAAAAAACACAGAATTTTGAAAATGGAGTTCCACTTTACCTCAAAATTGGAGGAGTATTATCAAAAATTTGTCGATCTTCAAGAAAAATTAAAGAAAAGGTAACTTTTGCAGGTTTATTTTGTTTGTATTGTGTTAAAATGTTTGTTGTGCATGATGCAATTTTATTTTTTTAGTGAAGAAGAGCGGTTTATTTTGGAAACTAAGTTCAATGACATGGTGCAAGTTGCAAAAGAAGAGTAAGTTAATGTTTCTAATAATTAATTTTTTGCAAAAAAGTTTTTTTTTAGAGAGCAAGCCCATTATAGAAAACTCCGTTCCCAGTACAAACGCTTCCTGGAAGAGGACAAAAAACGTCAAGACCGAAACGAACGCATCATCAGAAACCTGGAACGCATAGAAACAAGAATCTCCATGCTTTCAGCGAAAACAGATCGTATCAACCTGCTCAGACGACAATATCAAAACTTTTTATTGAGAATAGCCAATCCGAATCGAGAGAGAAAACTTCCCGATTCAGGAATCAGTAGAGAACGTTCGTTTATAAGGGAAGAACCTTTGAAAAAACAACAAGGACCTCTATTCAGGGATGATTTTTCTTTACCAACAAACAATATTAATTTGAAACAGCCATTATTCGAGCATCCAACATCCTTTGAAAAAAATCATCACCAATCCAATGAAGAAAAAATTGAAATCCTAGATAGATATTTGCAAAGCATTTCGACTCAAAGATGCAGGGATTTAATTAATCAGGAGAAAACCTGCACGCGAAGTAATCCTTTCTGTAAAGACGATTGTGCACCGTCAGGCAATCATGCTACAGCAATTGCTGATGACATAATGAATTCTATCTATTCTAGATATTATAATAAGGTTGATGAGAATTTAGGTAACCATGGTACAGAGCCAACGGTGGAAGATTTGGAACATGCAAGAAATATGAAAGCATTTGAGAGTAAATTTGGTGCTTTGGACAAGACATGTGATAATGAGTCAATGGGTGAACATGAGGATAAAAATGAAACAAAACCATCGGTGTATTTGAATGAAAAAATTGATGTTACTGTTACTGAAGACAAAGATTATAAATCAATAGAGATTGTAATGAATGCTAAGGATCAAATCTCCAACGAGACTACAAATACACAACATAAAAGCGAAAACATTGTTAATGAAGCTGAAACAATTAAACCAAAGCCATCAGCAATAATTATTCCTAATGATTCATTTAATATTCAACAAGCAATAATTGATCCCATTGATTCTAGTTCCACAGAGAATGTTATTCTAATTTCAAATGAGAATCCACAACCACAATATGAAGATACTATAGCTGCTGAAGAAATGTATCAACACCCTGATAATGAGGAAACAACGCAATTACAAGCTAATATTTCAGAAGTGTATCAACAACCCGATCAACCGTTAGACAATCAAGATATGAGTCCAGAAGTCACTCATCAAACTTTACTAGCTAACCAAACCCAAGAAGTATATGATCAGTCTCAAGAAAAGGCACATTTTGATCAAAGTGAAGAAGAGCAAGAGGTGCAGTACGAGCAAAGCGTTCCAATTAGTCAGATCATTCAACCATTGAATAATGCAGAAATAGAAAACAAAGAACATCAGCAAGAAACTCCATCACCCAATGATCAAGCTCAAGTTCCACAAAAACATTCAGTTGAAAATGAACACATTGAAAACAAAGCCTCAATAGATGATCAACAAAATGAACTTAACCAAGAATACAATCCACAAACTCAATTTGATCCAACACAATATGTCGATGAAAATGGTCAACCTTTACAATACGATCCATCCTACGATCAACAACAATTTGATGAAAACGGTCAACCGATCCATTATGATCCTGCTTCAGGCTATGATCAATATGGTCAACCGATTTTGTATGATCAGCACGGACAAATAGTTCAGCCTCAGTACGAAGAGAATGGACTAATTATACCTCAGTACGATGAAAATGGACAATTAATCATTTTATACGATCAAAGTGGAAATGTTTATGGCCAGAATGAGCAGCAGCAATATGATCCAAATGGAGAAGTGTATGAACAATATGATCAAAATGTTCAATATGATGAGAATGGCCAACCGATTTACGATCCAAGTTATAATTATGAAGCGGACCCTAATCAACAGGGATATGAAGCTGATTCGAATCAACAAGGGTACGAAGTTGATCCAAATCAACAAGGGTACGAAGTTGATCCAAATCAACAGAAATATGAAGCTGATCCAAATCAGCAAAAATATGATGATCATTATCGGGCAGTTGATGATCAGGGATTTGCTGCAGTCAAAGATGATCAAATTGTAGATGAGGGCAAAAATGATAATAAAGATGAAGGTGAAAGAGAGATCAAAGATGAAATTGGAAATGATGATAAGGATGATGGTCAAGAAAAACATGAAATTTTAGAAACAAAAGATAAAAATGATGTTGAAAAAGTAGCAAAAGTGATGGACATTTTGGATACTGACACTGAGAGTACCAAGCAAAATACTAGCAAAATATCCAATGATACTGATTTTGATTTTAGCTAAATTTGAGGGAAACAAAGGAGACTGGAGATAGAAGATATAGGAATTTTAACTTTAAATATTCACTTTGTTGTTAGTTGATTGAATTGATTAAATATAGATAAAAATATAGTTGATAGAAAACTTGTTTGAGTTTTAAAATATTGTCTCATTTACTTTTTTTCTACAGCAGAAATCACTTAAACCATAAATTTTAAAGGCCGAAGGGAAAGATGGCAATGAAATAAAAAATAATAATACGGTCAAGAAGCAGCAGAAGGAAAATATGTGAAAAGAGGACACAGATAGCAAATAATAAAGACAATAAAAAAATACTGTAACGCATCTATCTATCGAAACAGCAAACATGGACCTTTTTTTTTTGTTGTCGAGTCGAGGAAGAAGGGTGTAAGGGTACTGGGCCAGGTAGTTTCTGTATTGTACTCACCGTAATGGAGTGGCATTAGAAACAGCGGAGTTGCCGTTCGCTAAGCAATGACGTTGCTCGCAGGTACAAACGGTATCAAGAACACCAAAAAAAAAATGTAAGTACGCTAGACTCTAGACATGTTAGTTCGACACCAGGGTTTTTTAAAAGAGCAAGTTCACAAAGTACTGATATGGCGGAGATTCACGACGTTCCTCGAGTAAGTCGACCTGGAAATTTCAAGGATGCTGGTGTCTCGCTATCTCCTCCAAATTTGGATGACACTGAAAATCTCAAGGCTGTATGTGTTCAATCAACCTCTACAAATCAAAGTAGGCGACCAACGGATGCACCAGAGCGCGAGTCCTATCGCGTTATTACAACACAATCACACCGCTCCATTGTGCGTGGAGCAAACGTTGTGCGCAGCACCTCTTCAAGTAGAAGCTCACATCACACTACCGATTCAACTTTCGCAGCTCAGAAACTACGAATTGAGCAGCTGGAAAATTTTGTGAACCAACTCTTGAGCAAGGAAGTGACAAACATCACACAAAATTAACAGTGAATCCAAATTGCATTCCTAAATTCAATCCAGCAAATGAGAATGAAAGCTGCATCAGGTGGTTGGATAAAATAGATCATCTGGCTCATATAAATCAGTGGGCCAAAAGAGTTGTGATTTATCACATGCAAAGTAAGCTAGCTGGTTTAACGAAAACCTGGTACGATCATCTGGATGTCTATAGACGTTCTTGGAGTGAGTGGAATGGATGGAATGGAAATTCAAAATTTCAGCACTTAAGGTCATCAATGGTACTTTATGAACAACAATTTTCAAACAAAATTTTTCCATACTCTTAATGATTTATTCTTTTACTTTTAGTGGTTCCCATCCTTCACTAGGGATCATTTTGAACAGAACAATTACTGTACTCGGATTCCTAGCCAACAAACACAATTATTTAATTCTTATTAGTTCGTTACTATAGCCCTTAAACTTCAATTGGACAATGCAATTCAACATTATTTAATAATTCCTACTCAAAATCGAATATTGTTAAGAGCATTATAATTTTCCTTTGTTAATTCTCTGCAAAATTAATTAAAATGTCATTATACTCGAAGGCAATTAAAGTTATGCAATAAAGTTTCTAAAGTCAAATCACTCAAGTTTTTATGCATTAAAGTTCAATGCAATTCACTTCTTATGATTCCGAATCATTGTTAAAGTGAAAAAAAAAACAATGAAAGTCACTACAGTACTTACATTCAAATTGTCACTCGATAAAATACTTAATTAATTTGCTTCATCTCTAGAGCTCGCACATAATATTGAACGAATTTAAATGGACTGTAGACTCAACTAGACTTAAGCTTAAACTGATCTGACTAACAACTTAAAGCTCAACTGATCCTCCACTTCTAAAACCGCTGCATTTATATGTTTCGTTTCCCCAAAAATTCCTATTTTCATCATTCAATAACCTTCCTATTTTATTTGTTTAAAATCGAATAATTATCTCGCAATTTCCTGGTTTATCGGGGTGAACAGATTTGGTTGTAAGAATTGGACATATAACTCAAAAAAAACCGACAGCACGTGCGGCCATAAATCACCAATTCAATTACTTTAGCCTAGCTTTTAATATGTTCATTGATTTGATTTAGGAGATGACATCAAGCTTGGTGACTAAATAATAAAATTTTTGAAAGTATATAAATATTTTAATTAATTTGGGGTCCACCTTATTTTGTTTCATTTTCAATTTGTTGATACTGATTTGAAATACAGGAAATTCAGTTTTTTTGTTATTTGATTACATTTAATTTTTACAGTAAAGACATTGTAAATTACGGGTCTATATTCCCGGGTCATTACACAGTTGATACGTAAGAAAAACAAATTCACGAAGACTTTACAATTAGGGATCACAGATTGTATAGGAAAACACCCGATGGTATCAGATGGTATGTTCCTAAGGAAGCAAGAAGAATGGTAACAAATTTATCACCACGACAATAGAGGACACTTTGCAACCGATAAAACTTTGAAGAGCATTGGAATTAACTACTGGTTTCCCAGATTAAGGAAATACGTTTCTCATTACATAACTGCATGTTTATCATTTACTGCCACTCAAACCCGACCTTGTACAGTCTCAATAACCTGTATCACAATTATCCGACAAGAGCTAACGAAAATATAAGGATTAACTTCCACAGGCTCAGTAGGTCACGTTTTGCTAAGAATTATTATGCTCCGCTTTTTTACAACAGGTTGTCTCAGAGTGTCAAGCATCTGCCCTTGAATAGATTCAGAGTAGCTATCAAGAGTCATTTACTGAATAGGGCTTTTTATAGTATCGAAGAATATATGGACTGTGATAATTTTTCGTGATTTTATTTGAGTGTCCTATGTATTAGTAGATGTAAACTTGTAAGAGTGACAAATTTTAAATTTTATAGTTTTGTTTTATGTTAATGATTTGTGTTATGTGACAAATTTTAATGACTGTTTATTGCAGTATTTGTAGTACTAGGCATAGTTTGTGATTATTTAATTTTAATTTCAATTTCAAACTTGATCGTTATGCACCTTGACGCTGGGATTTGGGAATGATTTATTTGTAATCAAAAGCTGAATAAATTACTTTACTTTACTTTACTTTACTTTACTTTACTTTACTTTACTTTACTTTACTTTACTTTACTTTACTTTACTTTACTTTACTTTACTTTACTTTACTTTACTTTACTTTACTTTACTTTACTTTACTTTACTTTACTTTACTTTACTTTACTTTACTTTACTTTACTTTACTTTACTTTACTTTACTTTACTTTACTTTACTTTACTTTACTTTACTTTACTTTACTTTACTTTACTTTACTTTACTTTACTTTACTTTACTTTACTTTACTTTACTTTACTTTACTTTACTATCATGTGCTTACAATAAAGGTCAAACTGGAAAACCAGAAGGTTACTTGCATCCAATTGAAAAGGCAGTGGTGCCACATGATACTCTACGCATAGACCACCTGGGCCCCTTCGTGAAAAGCACCAAGAGAAATTGCTATCGTGAACTAGTGATAAAATTCCTAGAGATCTTCAACACATTCGGAATTCCACGTCGAATGATAGATGATAGAGGATCCGCTTTCTCGAGCAGCTCGTTTTCAATTTTCACTAAGGAACTGGGAATAAAACTTATATTGAATGCTACAGCAACGCCACGTGCCAACGGGCAAGTGAAGCGTTATAACAGGACACGGCTCAGTGCCATTTCATCTAGTTATGATGATGAGAAGAAGTTTTTGGCATCAAAACTGTGCCTAACAGTACCACAAAGAAGAGCCTCAGCGAACTGGTGCTATGATATTGTCCCAGAGCTATGAACGACTCATTTTTGAGTAATGCTGTTGCTGATGTAGCCGTAGAAATGAAACTAGTGAACGAATACGACGTACTCAAAATAGGGAAAGGGCTTATTTTGATGCTAAACGTAAAAGAAATCATGGTTACGGCATAGGGGATCTTTTTCTGATAGTGTAACGAATGATGGCAAAAGCAAAAAGCTGATACCCAAAATTAGCGGACCCTATGTAGTCAAGAAAATGCTTGATCATGACAGATATTTAATAGACCTGCCAAGTTCAAGGCGTGAACGCAGGAGGTGTTTGGTCAGCTGATAAAATTAAGCCATTTAAGACTGCTTACGAAAGCAGCAGTAACTTGTAATGACCCGGGAAAATAGACCGTAATTTACATTCAAAAATTACGTGGAAGTAATTTAAAGTTGAAACCAACGAAATGTCATTTTATGAAGAAAGAAATTGAATATCTAGGGCATCTCATATGCGAAGGTGGATATATAACCCACCCTGATAAAAGCAGAATAATAGAAAACTATCCGGCACCCAGGAATGTCAAAGAGATAAGAGCTTTTCTTGGACTATGTATGGATTCTATAGAAAGTTTGTTCCTAATTTTGCGAAGATTAGTCAGACGTTAACTTATTTAAACAAGAAAAATATCAAATATCATTGGGGACCAGAACAAGAGAGTGCTTTCGTGACCTCAAAGAAACTACTTATAACATCTCCTATTTTAAAGTACCCAGATTTCAGCAAACAGTTCATGGTCAATACGGCTGCTAGTGCGAACGCAATTCCAGCTATTTTAACACAAGAATATGAAGGAAAAAAACATCCTATATGCTATACAAGTAGATGATGAATGATGCCGAACGCCGATATAGCACCATAGAAAGAGAATGTATAGCTATAGTTTTTGCCGTAAAAGCTTACAGAAACTATTTAACTGGTACTCATTTCGTTATTGTGACAGACCATAGGCCTCTCAAGTATTTATTGACGATTAAAGACGCGAGCTCAAGACTAGCCAAGTGGGCCATGTTTCTTACGGAATACAGTTTTACGATTCAGTACCTACAGAAAAGGAAATTTAAACAGCAATGTAGATGCATTAACTCGATTACGTGAAGAAACTGACGAAAATGAAGAAAGGGAACCACCCGTGATAGCTGTCGTTACTAGACGACAAGAGCTGAGTCCTGTATCATCTGTAATTTGGACAAAAGAAGAAATACAGAAATTGCAACAGGAAGATGAGTCGATAGACCGAATAAAGGAAAATTTAGATAATGAGAATTTCTCGTATTTTATTGACGATGGTATTATTTATGAACAGAGAGACGAGTGACAGCGAACTGACAGAATACTAGCTCCTAAGAAGATTATTCCAGAAATTTTGCGGAGTTATCACAACGTAATTTATTCAAGACACCCTGGTCAGTACCAGGGAGGAATTTAGCACCAAAATTCCGTTGTAAATGGTCAGGACCAAGTCGAATTACTCCACAGCTAGGACCGGTTACTTTTAAAATAAAGGAGTTGCACGGAAAGAAAGGACAGATTTTACATGCTGAAAGACTCGAACCATGTAAAGGGTTGGAGGATAGAATGATAAATCCTACACCAGATCACGGAGATAGTGAATCCGATGAAGAGGAGGACAATGAGGTTCTACTAGGAGAAGACATTATAGAATTTCCACTAATCCATAGGAAAATGACAACAGACGAGAATGAAGAAATCGTCGATCAAAATGAAAATAATGGCGTCAATGGTGAAATAAGGGCGCAAGAAGAAGATGAATTTTTAGCACGGGGGCAAGAATTACCCGTCAGGCATAGAGAAATAGAAGGAAATATAAACCAAGAAAATGAGGAAAATTCCGAAGATGAAGAGGAAGAAGTAGAGGTCGAGGAACACAATCCGGAAGTACGAAGAAGTACGAGGACACGGGACATAAAATGGCTTGCTAGATTTAAGGAATATGTATTAAAGAAGCTGTAAAATGTAGAAAAATCAGGGTATGTCTAGTCTATGTATATCTAACTAGAGATTAAGTGAAATGCAAAAGGAAGGATGTTAGCTATAAAATTTAAGAATAAGAAAAATAGAGCAGAATGTAAGGATACATAAATTTAAAGGCCGTAATTAAGATGATTAGGGAAATAATTGTATAAAAATTGTTAGACACTTAGAAACATGCCATTAGAAATAATAGGTACCAAGAAAACGACGAACTCGTTCTGCTACCACGTATCCATGTTGAAATGGAAAGTTTGGACAATGCTGTCCTAAAATGAAACTCCGACGAGCCAGTAGGAGCAATCACGAAGACCATGGTAGCAGTAGCCAACCAGAGCTAGTAACCACGAGAGTAGTGTTGTGTAAAGTGGAAAGTCAAAAGGGTGTAAGTGTAACGTGTAACTAGCAAACTAGCGGGACCACCCTTGAGCAGCATCAGCATCCAGATCGTAACTATCCTAGCTACAATACCTACTACTGTGAGATTGACAGCGAGACTACAGGCAACCAACCAATGAGTCGTAGTGGGAGGCCGTAATATAGGCCCTCTCAATATAGGCCTAACGAGCAACCAGCGTTACAAGTAAACTTTGCTACAAGTAAGGGTATTTACTTTGTAATATTGAAATTTGTTTTGTGTCGTTCTAGCATCAACAATTTTGAAGGGAAATATTAAATAACAATTGTATGTATTAATGAAGAAAGTTAACAAAAATTTTGATGCCAGGATAAAATCTAGTGTTGAGTAAAGAATTATATTTAATCTTTAATAATTATTATTGTAATTGAAGTTGCGAAATTACACGGGAAAAGTTTAATTTCGTATTACTTTTGTTGTTTTAGTAAAATTAAAAATATAACAGATATTTTTAGGAAATATGAAAAGTTAGGGTAGGAAAAACTGGCACATAATTAGGTTGAACGAACTGATTAATACTTGGATAATATTATCGTCAAAATTTTTAAAATTGAGAAAATTAAACCATAAATCACAGAGGGTTCACCGACCGAACCATATTTTACGAGGTAGACACTTAATTTTGAGGGTGAAATTTTATATTTTAATGGGACCTTGAATAAGATTTGACCGAAATTATCTTATTCAATATAATTTCGGTTTTTAAGGGCAGAGGAATGTATAGACCCGGGAAAATAGACCGTAATTTACAATGTCTTTACTGTAAAAATTAAATGTAATCAAATAATCAAAAAAACTGAATCTCCAATAATTAACATCAGTATCAATAAATTGAAAATGAAACCAATAAAAATTGACCCAGATTAATTAAAGTATCTTTAAAACGTTTAATTTCTCATTATTTAGTCATCCTCTAAATCAAATCCATAAGAATATTTAAAGCGAGGCCAAAGTAATTAAGTCAGTGATTTATGGCGCACGTGTGTCGGTCTTCTTTGAGTTATATGTGACATTCTTATACGAAATCTATTGACCCCGATAAACCAGGAAATTGCGACATAATTATTCGGTTTTAAACAAAGAAATTACAAAAATTTCGAAAAGGTTGCATCATCAGGGCCGTTACTAGAGTCAAATTTGTGATAGGGCATAATAAATTTGACATAGGGCATACACTACTTGCCCCCCCCCCTTAAATTTTTTATAGGTAAACAAAATGGGGGTAATGCCGCCGAAGGCAAATTTTTCAATAACTCAAGGTTTCTAAAGTTAATAGATTGTCTGGTAATGGCCGACTTGATGACGCATCTGAGGTGCCTTATGGAGATTTGCATTATGTTGAGGCACCCAAGATGACGTCATGAAGTTATCAGTCTACCTATCTCTCTCAAACAACCTTGTCAATGAATAGCATATCTGGCAAATGAACAAAATGGCGCTGATTCACGCACCGCCTTTAGCCTATTCGCACTGTTTCGAAACGAAAAACTTCCTCTGTGGAAACGTCGAACGTCAAACATTTTTGCATACACTTAGGCGTTTTCAGAAACACTTATTCTCGCACTTACTCGATTTCAGGCCTTTTCATTATCTACGCTTAAATTTCTTAAATTTCCTAGAGAAACCTAAACGCATGTTGTGTTTTAAAGGTCATCATCATTTGAAAGATAGGGCATTGCCCCCCAATGCCCCTCCCTGGCTACGGCCCTGTGCATCATCCACTAAAAAAATTATGGAATTAGTTTTTGGAATAGTATCTAGGTCGAATGGTCGACCAATAGGACGGAATTACAGATGGTCACGATCGCCCATATTGTCAATTAAGTGGGCGAATAAAAATAATATAAAAGGGGACGGCCGTTAAAGATAAAGAGGAATCTTAATTCAATTGTCGAGACTAGCCTCAACAAATTAGTAGTACCTGTTCAGAAGTGGCGAATTGCCTCAGTATAAAAAGCCTCGGAAAAGACAAAATTCAAGTGAATATCTCATAGAAGAAAATAGTAAATCTTTCCGTTGTTATGTGCGTGCTCTAGCTAACTTTTAAGTAATTAAATGAGTATTATATCGAGTGACAATTTAAATGTAAGTACTTTAGTGATTATTATTGTTTTTCTGACTTTTAACAATGATTCGGAATGATAAGAAGTGAATTGACATTGACTTTTAATGCATAAAAACTTGAGTGATTTGACTGTAAAAACTTTATTGCATAACTTTAATTGCCTTCGAGAATAATGACATTTTAATTTAATTTTGCAAAGAATTAACAAAGGAAAATTATAATCCTCTTAACAATTATCGAATTTGAGTATGAATTAATAAAGATTTTTTAATTGGATTGTCCAATTGAAGTTTAAGGGCTATAGTAACTAACTAATAAGAATTTAAATAATTGCATTTGTTGGCTAGGAATCCGAAAATAGTATTGTTCTGTTTATATTGATCTTCAGTAAAAGATTTGAACCATTAAGAAGTAATGGGAAGTTGTCAAAAGAAACTTGTTCATGAAGTAATAACTTGTGACCTTAAGTGCTGAAATTTCGATTTAGGGTTCAGAAATTATTGTAAGGTTTTTATAAAAATAAAGTTGGTAATACATATATACTTAATCCAGTGAGTCGGATTATGACTTAATAAATAATTATTTTGCATAAGCAGTCAGTAAATGACTTAGGAGTTTTAAGAATTTATAGATATAGATGAAGGGTAGTTTCAATAGGAATGTGAATCGGAAGTGTTGTAATGTATAAACTTATAAGTTATTAGGAATAGTAGAAGTAGGGCGTTTTTTTTTTTGTATGGTTATTTCCTGGTCTGTAATAATGAAATTTGAACGTATGTGAAATAATTTGAATTGGGAAAAATAGAAGTGGCTGTCGGAATAGAAAGGTATTTGCTTATTTAAAATTTTGGTTTAAGTATAATAAAATATAATTTTGTAAACCTCGATAGTTTTTTTCCCTCTTTTGCGAATAGACCCCTCCACAATTTTATAGGTAGCAGCTCAAGGAAATAAACGCCATCAATATACCGCTCGCCATTTACCATATAACTAATTAAATAGAGTACTTGAGGCGTTTTGCTACAAACTGATTTATTCTGCTCTTCAGTATTATGTATTTATAGTGTATTGTATAATGTTTATATTGAAATTGCTAGTGAGTTTCCAAATTGTCTGAGCAACAATTGGAAAATTTCGCAGTGATTCAAGCAATAGGTTTATTGGAATTATTCCTTATGTTTCGTAATATCTTTGATAGGAATCAGGACTGCTGGACCATTACATGAGTGAAATTTCCGGGACGGAAATTCAGTAGCATGGCCGACTGCAACGCATCTATCTATCGAAACAGCTAGTATGGACCTTGGAACCTTTTTTTTAGTTGTCGAGTCGAGGAAGAAGCTTGTAAGAGTACTGGGCCAGGTAGTTTCTGTAATGCACTTCTCACCGTAACGTCGTGGCATTAGGAACATTCGTGTCGGCTACCTAAAATTCCGCTGAACTGGTTTAGGAGTCTGGAATAGTGTTATTGAAAAGCTGACCTCATTTGTGATATAGCTTATAAACATAAAACTCAGAGAATGAATATTCGTCTATTTAGATATTATAGGTAGGTAATAGAAGTGTGAGAATTTAAGGGACGTTAAAACAAACTGGAAAAGATGGAATGTCCATGCAATACCGAAAATTCTACAAGTGAATCTCATTGGATGGCCAAACGATTTATGATGCAAGTTAGCAGTGATGAACATTTTCAAGAAAAAAATTAAATAATTGTAGAAGCAGGAAAGTGAACACGTAGTTTTAAAAGTAACAAAAGTTCTCCAACACTTTTCTAGTTTTCCACTGATAAATGAATTCGATACAGCTAGGATTCAATGATACCAACCGATTTTAGTTTAATTTGGGAGAAACTGAAGAAAAAATTAAAATATAATTTTTTTTGCTGTGATGTTAAGTAATAAAAATTTAATTAATAAAGCTCGACTTGAAATGTAAAATGAAAATGAGTTTTAAAAAAAAATTGGTTAATTTCCAGGTTTCTAAATTTTGCTCATCCAACATTGCTCACCTACTTTTTTTTAGACTGCAAAAATCACATTAATAGCCAAGCCCGATATACCCACTACCGTTGTGGAACAGACAGCAAAATCGATAAAGATTTCTGAAATAGACGAAATGAAACTAAAAGAAAATAAGATTTTAAAGGGTAAAGGAAATGGTGACAAAGAAAAGAAGAAAACAGAAATCAAGGTGAAAAACAATAAAATAACTAAAAAAATTGAAAACGAAACCAAACTAAGTAATAATAAAAAAGGAACAGAAGAACAACGTACTAATAACCTTATTACCGATAAAGAATTAGAATGCGACGATTCGGAATTATATCCAGCTGAAATGGTATATTGGAGAAGCCTGGAACAATATTATTTAGAGGCGAACTTCATTTGCGTTGTAGCTTATGAACATAAAAGTCATAGAATGTAAATTTACCTCAGGACGCAATAGATTTTAGACTAGAAATTCTTTAATTTTTCAGGTACAAAAAACGCGACAGAATTTACTTGGAAACCAAATGCAGAGTAATCCGTCCTGATTTTATCACCAACTTAAAGCAACAGAGGATCGATTTTGGGAATTGCCTTGTTGGTACCGTTATGCCGAAAATTGTTACAATTCAAAATATAACTTGTAAGAAACTTTCAAAGTCCCGTAACTAGTTTCAAGCCAACAAAATTACACTGACTGGTTTGTATTTTTTATTGTAAAGGAATTAAAATATTATAATATTGCAGATCAAAATATAAAACCTAAAATGTCCCTGCTAAATCCGTTGGGATGTTTCTCAATTCATTATGCTCAAGGAATTATTTTGCCTCCAGAACAAACCATGAAATTAAATATTGAATTTAGGCCAAAAGATGACAATGAGGTAAACAAAAATCTTCAAATTTTGATCAGCTAAAATCTACACATCATTCTCTAAAACCATACTTTTCAACTTTTATAAACTCTCTTTTGGCTGTAGACAAAAACACCCAAGACTTTCTTATTGCGCCGTCTTTCATTTTCTTAATACATTGAGCAGGTGTAGGATTGTAGCGTCCAGGTCCTGGGGATACGCGCCAATCCACTGGACGCCGGGCGTTGACGTTGGAAGAATTGAAAGGGTATTTTGATGGTGGACAAGTCTTGATAGTCTGTTGTTTTAAACTGTAATGCGCTGGACCTGGATCGTTAGGGTTTCTGAAGCACAAGCTCAAATCGTTTAGCATATGACGTACTGTGGGCTTTCTAGGAAATCTGCGATTTTTTAAAAATACTCCTGATGTGCCTTTACTAGGATGTTTTAGCAAATGCTGCAAACTGCTAGGTTGTACATAGAAAGTGTCAGGTACTCTAAATGCTGGAGGACTGAAATGGTTTTTTATAGTTGTATTATTTCTGGGGCCAGTGAAGCCATCGTAAGGGCCTCTTGTAGAAACAACTTTTTTAGTAATATCTGCTGTACACTTGTTGTCAATGGGATTATACAAATTCGATGGTAGATGATAACTTCTAATACTAGGCGTGAATCTATCAAAAAATCCATCCCATTCAAAAGTAGGAGTTTCCGAAAAAGTTTTTTTGGACGGTTCGAATGATTCTGTAACTTTTCTAAAATACGTCTGAGGTGGCGGAGCTTCTTGTCCATGAATATATTTGCTTATCCGTGGCCCGCTTCCAAAACCCACATTGTCTTTAGCCAAATGCGATTTTCTTCTATACAAATTTTCATCTACTTCGGTACTGCCAGGACCTCTCATGGTTTTTGCAAATTGTCTTTCATTCAGGATTTTCGCATTTCGGAATCCGAGAAATTTAGAGAATTCTTCTATTTCCACCTTCTCGGCCCAACTATAAAAAACTGTATCAACTCAAATAAGGTATTATCATAAACACTTCAAATTCATACCTAACTCCCCCTGCTTTTTTAGCAGTACATTGGACCATTTTTGGATGAAAACTTGCAGGCCCCAATTTTGTTATTTCCCTCTTCAACGCTCCTGATTTATCCAGATTTGGGTGAAACCCTACATCAGTGAACCTTTTGGTGGCTATGCCAAAAGGGGCGTACGTCTTGAAGGGTTTATCGGGATGGGACTTCATTTTTAGTGATATGATATTCTTATGGCTCAGAAAAACATGACAGATAAACAAAATGACAATTTGATGTGAATCACAGGTGGAATGAAAAATTTTTTTTCTTTAAGGTTACAGAATATTTTGAAATAAAGTCCAATTCTACGATAATACCTTTGATCCTTTGTGGAAAAGGTAGCCATTCAGTTATACATATTACTCCAGAATTTGAGGTATACAGGATGGAGACATACATGAGCAAATTAGCTGAATTGCAATTCAAGGTAAACAACATTCTGTACAGGGTATTTGATTATATTTGAGCCCATAGGTACCTAAAGCCTTTACTATTTAAAAGATAGAATTTTTTTATGTCATACCAGTACATTATTGTCTTTTTGTACCTTAGATACCATCTACATAATTCATCACTTTATGCCCGTGCGGGCATAAAGCACACATTCTGGCCCGCGCGGGCATAATGTACCATTCTAAATATCAGGTTGACAATTACGCCGCAAATGACGTCGTTTGCGTGTACGCAAAGTTGCATCGATTTCAAATAAAGTCCCCCTGGTATGACATAATAGTTATTTATGTATCAAGGGTACTAAGTAGATGATTATGCCCTGAGGGCGACAGTCTTACAAAGCCGAGGGCCTCTGGCCCGAGGGTTCGTAAGTCGCCCGAGGGTATATATATATCCATTAATGTTGGGAAATGGACTAAGAAATAAAAGAACTTGTTAATTATCGATATTCAATATATTTATTATATCGAACACAGCGTGGAAAGCAGAGCGTGTGAACTCATAGAAATAACTATACGAACTGACTCAACATCAAGACAAAGAATTACAAACCCTTTCTTAAGTAAACGTTTCCTCATCTGTTTATCTTACATATACAAACTATTATAAATACATTCAGTCATCCATAGCTGCGATATAAATTAGCAAAGTCAGTATAGGCTAATAATCAAAGTTTAATTTATTAATTTTTGTTTCACTGATATAAATATCAGTTTATCCAACACGCCACCTCAAAAATTTGATCAATTATACTAAAAGTGTAATACAACTTAAACCTAGTATAACATAAATAGGCCTGCTTTCCTTATGTGTGTCTTTTCTGGGGAAAATTACTATAACGGTCCAGCATTTGCTGCTCGGGATTAGGGAAAACCCAAAAAAACCTAATCAAACCATTTAACTTATTTACTAAGCCTAATTCCATTCCAATTTCTCAAATTTCACTTGCATCAATGGTTTGGTAAACATGTCTGCTAGTGGTTTATCTGTGGACAAATTAATATTTTATATTAATTACGATCGATTCAATATGATTTGATCTTTTGTGATTTGTTGGATTATTTGTAATACTTATTGAGGTCCATTGTTGTCCTCCTAGGTCATAATTGACTCTGATATCAATGTTTATGCATGTTTTCTGCTAATGATTTTAACCAAAGTTCCTCTTCAAAAAGAAAAACCATATAATCGGCTTCAGTAGATGATGCCGTTACTGACAGCTGCCTTTTTGTATTCCAACATCACACAAATTTCAAACAGTTTAAATAAATATCCTGATGTGCTTTATATATTGTTTATATTATCATCTCCACCTTCCTAGTCAAGATTAATAGAATCACTCAAGAAATTGATACATTCACAAGTAAAATATTGTGTCAACTTCACATTGATTTTACCCTTAACATATCTAAGGACCCTTTTCAAATATTGCCAAAACTCTTTATTATTCTTGTTTTAATACCTGCTCAAAATATTAACAGTGGTACTTAAATCAGGCTTGATATACATAACATAATATACATTAAACAGACGATTAGATTCCGGCAAGGGCTATCATGTTTTACTTCTGAATTTAAACCAGTCAAATTCAGTTTACTAGGAAGCGGAGTGCTGACACAGCTGATGGCACAACAGTCATTCATATTAAATTTATGTAAAATAGTTTTCATGTACATTTGAACTGTACCTATATGAAAATTGTTCAAGACTAATTTTATTTTTGATTACCTTTCAATTTTATTACCCAAAAATAGTTTACTGTCTTTCAAATAAAACATAGAACAGTTATTTGCCAAATTCCTTTTAAACTATTCAATGTATTATTATCTGCAGTGGCAAATACCATCTACAGAACTACATAAATAATTTTACATATTGCACCTTTGTCTAAGATATAAATACAGTGGTTAACTGATGAATTTTCAAACCCATTTTCTTTATGAACTTTTACTATTATTGCAAACTAACATCTAGTGGTTCAAATCAAATCAAATCAAATCAATTTATTTGTGTTAATTTACACTCATGTGTTTACACTTGTCAATAAAAACTACTGTCTAATTCCAATTTACATATTAAAATAGTTTAAAAAGGTTTAAAACACAAGCTAAAAATTACATTAAAAAACAAAAAAACAGGCTAAAATTTACATAAATTAAAATAAACATTTACCTTAACGAATTTTACAAACAAATTTCAAGAATAAAAACATTACATCAGGTTAAGATGGCACAATTACTATTATTATTACTTATACTATTTTTCACTGGAATTTACCATCCATCCAGCTAAGTGTGGAGTTGTTAAACTCTTGTATAGAATAAAAAGCCTTGGAAATCAAAAAGTCCTTTACTTTCTCTTTAAATTTAGACTTACTTAGATATTTCAGGGGATCAGGAAGCCGATTAAAAAATGTGACTGCATGGAACCCGGGTCCATTTTGGCACCTTTGTAACCGGTGAAAGATTGGTTGTAGGTGGTTTTTGTTTCGCGTGTTGTAGTTGTGAATGTCACTGTGGCAGGTATATCCGTCATGGTGGTCTTTAACATACATCAAATTCTGGAGAATATACTCACATGGCAGAGTCAGGATTCTGTTATTAATAAAGGCCTGTCTTACATCTTCCCTATAACCCAATCCCGCAACAATCCTCACAGCACGTCTCTGCATAGCAAAAACCCCCATGTGCACCACTAGAGTGGCCCCAAACGAGCAACGCGTAGCTGAGATGCGAGTGGAAGACAGCAAAGTAAGACTGTTTGAGAATTCTTGGAGACACGCACACCGACAAATTCCTTAAAACAAAAGTATTTCTACCTAGCTTCTTCGTAGTCATCTCAGTGTGAGCATCCCACAGTAATTTCTGGTCGAGAGCAACCCCAAGGAATACGACACTACCTGCCATCGGTTCTGTTCTTTTTAATGAGAAAACATAGTTTTGGGTTTTGGCTTCGTTCAAGAAGAGTTTATTAGCTGAAAACCATTGCTTGGCTCTTGCCTGTGCCTCTCTAGACATGTCGGTTGCTGTCTGTATGTCGGTGTGTTTGACTTGTTCTGTTGTGTCATCTGCAAAATTGAAGATTTTTTCTGTTCTTGCTATGTTTGGCAGGTCGTTTTTGTAGAGTAAGAACAAAATAGGCTCTAGGATTCAACCTTGTGGTACTCCCATTCTGACTTCCTGATTATTGGACATATTGATAAAGCTGACTGCTTCTTGAGTTTTTGTTAAATAGGATTTTAATAAGATCTATGCTTTGAGGTGAAAAATGATAAAAAGGTAGTTTGTCAAGTAAAATGTCGTGAGAGACACAGTCAAAAGCCTTGCTCAGGTCGCAAAAGATTGAGACTGTGTGTTGTGAGTCTTCAAAACCCTCCATTATGTTTTCTACTAGTCTTAGGATTGCCAAAGTGGTGTTTTTGCCCCCTCTAAAACCAAACTGGTTTGGGCTCAATATTTCGTTAATTTCAAGATAGTTTGTTATCTGGTTTGCAAGACATTTTTCAATGATTTTGGAAAGAACAGGCAAAAGAGAGACAGGCCTGTAGTTTCCAGGATCACTCGATTCACCCTTTTTATAAATAGGAGTCACCCTAGCTATTTTCATACAATCCGGAAAGGTACCTTCTCTTTTGCAACAATTTATAAGCTTTGTAAGAGGAATAAGCAACTGGTTCTTGACACCCTTTATTAAGTGAATATTTAAGTTGTAAATATCTTTGCTTGTTTTATTTTTGAGCCTATCGATCACCCCTCGAACTTCACAGAATGTAACCTCCCTAAAAAAGAATTGCCCCCCCTTTATATTTAAATGTAGGTTTTGCAGACTTGCCAGAGGATTAATGTTTTCATTGGGTATTTTACTTTGCAATTCAACTGCTATATTTACAAAGTAATCGTTAAATTCCCAGGCTGTTATGCCAGTCTCGTCATTTACAAATTTTTGTGGTTTACCTCTCAGCTCATTTACTATCTCCCACTTGTTTGTTTGTTTTAGTTCATAGATACAAAGCCTTGCAAACTTGGTTAGAAGGTTTACTTGTCACACCTTGTGCCCGCTACCCTTCAGCCTTCAGGAACCTTCATAAAAATGGCTTCCTTCAATGTACCATCCGGGAAAGCTGTTTTTACATCCATATGATGTATTAAAAGGATAAACTGATTAAAAACGTTATTATAATCCAGAAACCTACGATTCTCGCCACCTGTGCAAAGATTTCATTATAATCTACCAAGTAATGTTGACTAAAACCACGAGCAACTAAGTAAGCTTTGTATCTAAATGGTTTTCCAATTTCATCATTTTCAATGGAAAATATCCATTTAGAATCCACTATATTTTTATATTCGGGTCTTGATACTAACGACTACGTTTTATTTACCAATAATGAGTGAATCAATATCATTTGGCAGATCTGTTTTAATGACAGATTTACTATACTCATTATTTGGTTTTATGAGTTTATTAGGGTTAACATTTACCTACTTTCTTGAATTGTTACTCATCTGATTTAGCTATATCAGATTTAATAATTAAACCACCGATCTTGACAAATTGCCACTTTCAGGGGAAAATTTTTATTAGACTATCCAAGATGCTGTCGAACTCAAATCAAAATGTCCGCCAAGAGGCACACAAACCCTTTGTTTGCTTGTCAAAGTCACGTGTTTTGGATAGGCTAATTACCAAAGTGTTACATTAATTTATGACACTTTTCCAGTTTAGTTCAGTTCAGTTTA